CCCCTAAGTCTCGCATTGTGTGAACACTATCTGCTGTCCCTCTCCCTAGTATGTCTTGTTCAACTCTGCATCCCCAGTGCCTAATAGAGTCCTCCAATATATACTGAATGACTAGAAGGCATTTCTATATTATTTTTTACAATTACATGTGAATCTAAAATTATCTCAAAATAAAATGTTTAATTTTATTTTAAAAAGAAAAGAAAAAGGATAACCTTAGTTACTGTAGAAAATGAATTGCGGGGACAAGAATAGATGCACTTAGAAGGCTTTCAAAATAATTAGGCAATAACAGTCAGCCGACTGGCGTAAGAGAAGGTGCGTAGAGGCAGCACGTTTGTCTTTCTAAGTTATTTTCCTGCTCAGGCTACCAATGTAAACTAGTGTTCTGGCCAGTGCCATTAAAGGAATATTTTATCATTTACCTTTGTCTAAAATAGTGGTTTTCAATACAGTATTTCCAGATCAGTTCTCAGGTATACTGCAAATAATTTACAATAATTAATAATAATAGATTTTAAAAATTCAAGTTGGTAACTGGTTTATATTTTCAAAAAGGAATCAAAATAGATTTAAGGTTATTCATATAATAATATTCCTGTCACTTACATCCTTGACTACAAGAAAGGTGGCAGTTACAGTTAGCAAGCTTATATTTCAATGAACCCTGGGTCTAACTTTAGAAAAATCATGTGTTAGGTTCATAGACACCACCTGGAAAAAGGCTATGCACCACAATTTTTAAAACATCAAGCTTCTTTTAGATTGCAGCAATGCCACAGAGCAGCACCATGCTGTCATGTGGACACTTGTATGTTTCTTAAAGAAATATATGGTCATTGATGCTTTTTTTTTTTTTTTTTTGATGGCTGGTAAAGGGATCTTAACTCTTGGCTTGGTGTTGTCAGCACCATGCTCAGCTAGTGAGCGAACTGGCCATCCCTATATAGGATCTGAACCCACGGCCTTGGTGTTATCAGCACCGCACTCTCCTGAGTGAGCCACGGGCTGGTCCTTCACTGATGCTTCTATTTAAATTCTATGACTGTGTGTATCTGAACTCTGAAATGTCCTATTGATTCTTGAAAATGATGTGCTCTGATTGACTCCATAATGAACCCTCTAGTGTAACCATATACCAACCAACATACCCACATATAAACCCATGAAAGTAAGATTAGAAGTGAGATCCAGATGCATACTATAAGTCCTTCAAAGGAATTCTCTTCAAAGCTATTTAAAAGAACTCTGCTTTAGGAAATAAAATATTTAAATAGGCAAATCCTCAATTTTTCATACAGCCTATCATTAATGTATTTTTTGTGTACATCACATTCCCCATATAATCATAAGGATAAATAAAGTAAAAATATTAAGATTGCAATTTTAAATTTAATCACATACTTTGTAATTATTACTTGTTCAGGATTCCTCTTAATCTTGATTCTTATTTAAGATACACTTGGAATTTCTGTTGTTTACTTTTTCTCTCACTCCCAAACTGAATTCCCACTGGGTCCTATTTAAATGTATTTGTTCTGTTTATCACTTATACCTAGTGTCAATTCCCAATAGTATTAGACTGGTGAGTAAACTAGATCCTGTTTGTCTTTTCCTTTCCCCATCAAAAGAAGAAACGAGCTTCTGCTATTTTGTCTGTCAACCACATTAGACACTGAAGATATAGTTCATTCAGAGATCAAGACTGAAATAGACCCCTACCTTAACTGTGCCAAGAATTCTTTCTTGGTTCTTTCAAGTAATAGAAGTGCTTCATGTTTAAGATGTTTAAAACATTATTACCCTTTCTTTCACATGTGGAAAACTTGATCTTTGCAAAGATTTCCCCTTTCAGTAATGAAAAAATATGAGAAACATCCACTTGGGACACTAAGCCATTGCCAAGTCTGTAACTTTCATTAAAAATACTTTCATACGTAAAATTAATAGCAATGTCATCTCATTCCAATTCTATATAAATGAAGTATTACAACCTAGAACTCCAGGATTCCATGGAACTCTTCTGTCTTCTAGATTTCTGAAAGGACTCTTTATGCATTGGATTCTGAATTTTGGCTTTCAGATGACCCAGCCAATTAATCTTAATTGTATGTGTCTGGCTAAATCTTCCCCAGCAGAGGTTTCCCATTACACACACCCATTACTACTAGGATACCCACAGGTGCCAACATACAACGTACTTTTATTCCCAGCTGTTGCTCAAGTTAATTTAACTGTTCTGAACTCAGCTGAGGTAGATGGCAAATGTGTGTGTAACTCTGCTACCTTAGAAAATATGCTGATTTTTAAATTCCAATTAATGAACATCCAGTGATTCATTAGTACTTTTCCAAAGCAAACTAAAGATTCTCTAATTCTGTTGTCACTTGCAAAAGAAAGCATCACTAGATCAGAAAACTGACTAATTGTGACAGTACCAGTGTTCTTTTTAAAATAATTTTGTTTGCATTAATATATTTAACAAATTAATCCAAATCATGATAAAAGATGTTTTTAATTATAGCTGTATGTATATATAAATATGAATGGAATGATATATCACCAAGTGGAACATGACTCATCAGTGTCTACCAAATGGAAATAAGTGGTACAGTAGAGTCTGGTGTGGAGTACAGGTGACCTACTGCATTCTAGCAGGGGCTTCAACTCTATAATCAGCTTACTGTAGGTAGGGCCTTGGAAATTAGCATGTTGGCCTCAGTTTCCTCACTGGTAAATCATGAAGGGTTAGACTAACTCATATTTAATGGCTGTAATAGACCAAAAAATCTGATTCTTGTAGAGCACAGGTCAGCAAACATTTTTTGTAAAAGGCCAGATACAAATTATTTTCAGCTTTACTGGCCAGATAGTCTATTACAGCTATTCAACTGTAGCTTGAGTAGCCATTGTAGCACAAAAGCAACCACAGGCAATAAATGAATGGCTTGACTGTGTGTCAGCAAAACTTTATTTACAAAAACATGCAGTTAGGTGGATTTTGTCCTTCAGGCTATAGTCTCCCAACCACTCCGTAAGGACTCCTCCAGGGTAATCACACATCAGCCAAAATACTCACAAGTGAAAGTAAGACTAGACCTGAGATCCAGATACATACTAAGTCCTGGGAAGTCTTCTCTTCAAAGCTATTTAAAAGAACTATAAAATGGAGCATTAAAAAAACAAAATAAAACAAAACTTGTAGAGTAGTAGCAGATCATATTTCCTATAAATAACACAGTTCCTTGCAAACTCAACACATTGGTTGACAAAAAACATTAAATAACTTTAGGAAAAACCCTGTTTCCTTATGTTGCTATTAATAAACCAGGAAAGAGATGTACAAAACAAAGCTGTATCTTCCTATGCCCTCCCTGCCCCTCCTCTCCTTCTCTGCCATTCTAGCCAGTAGCAGAGCACTACCATTCTTCCAGGATAGAAGCCGCCTTAATGAGCCTCTTGAAGGCATCTCAGTACATCATCCTCTATTTTTGCCCTGTCAGCAAGCCCTGTGCTATCTCCTCTTGCAATTCCAATCTCTTATCCTAAACTTAATACATACAGTTGACCCTTGAACAATGTGGGGGTTAGAAGTGCCGACCACATAACTTTCCTCACACAGCCAAAATCCACACATAACTTTTGACTTCCCCAAAATTTAACTACTAATAGCCTACTGTTAAATGGAAGCCTTACTGAGTTGATGAATACTTATTTTGTATGTTATATTAATATAATACATATGTTCTTACAATAAAGTAAGCTAGAGAAAAGAAAATATTAAGAAAATCATAAGAGAAAATATAGTACTGTATGTATATTTATTGAAAAAAATCCACATAAGTGGACCTGTGCAGTTTAAACCAGTGTTGTTCAAAGGTCAACTATACTCTTTCAATCTCATCTTTCTAAAACACCACCTCAATCATGTCACTTCCTACCTTCAAAACCTTCCCAATTTCTACTGCATCAAATATAAGCTCTAATGCCTGGAATTTCCAAGGCCCTCCTTTTCCCCACCCAGCAGGTCTTATTTCTCACAAGACCTCAACACCCACTCTCTGCCCTAGGCAGGATATTCTTTGGAGGGTACCTGAAGAGTACACATTACTTTCTGTGCCTTTATTACCACAATCAGTTACCCCCAAACTATCCATCCAAACCCCATCATTACATCAAGGTCCAACTCAAGGATCAATTTTTCTATAAAGCCTTATTTGCCAGTCTACACAGATATTCTCTATCTCTACATTCCTACTGAACTTAGGGGCAGTATGATACAGCTTAGTACTTATTTTCCTATAATTGTTTCTGGCAAATGAACTAGGCCATACGCACACTTTCGTACTTGCCAACGACTGATACAATGCTAGGTTTTAAAAAAACAAAGGCTGAGAGATTAAAGGAAAAGTTGTTATAGGATGAGGATGAATCAAATCTAAGGTGTACCATTTTTGCTGCTCCTGCTATTGAATTCTTTTGACATGTGTCAGGTGCTGAGAATAACCATTACTACATTTTACTCTGATTAAGTTTCCCAAACAAAATATTGTAGCTGCTATAAGAGTGAAGCGGTATATTTCCCTATCCTATCCGACATGGCAAATAAATAAATTAGCATACAGGTTTATAGTCAGTCCCTTATGAATGCTTTTAAAAATGTGGATGAAGTCATAGGAGGCTAATTATCTCTGTATATACCACACTTCTCCATCAAATCCAGATTTCATCTCTGGTCAGTCTCCTCAATCACTCCTCCCTATTTCTGTACTCTAGGCCTAAAGCATCCTTATACTAGAGTCTGTATTTGTACAGTGTTTATTACATGCCAAAAACAGTGTTAGACACTTTAAATATTATCACATTTGAACTATCCAGCCATCTTGTGAGATAGCTACTACTGTTCTGCCCACTTTACAGATAAAGAAAATGAAGCTAGTAAATGACAATGACAAAAGAAAATGAAGCTAGTAAATGACAATGCCAGGATTCAAACCTACATATTCTGACTGTTGCTCTCCTCCTTCTCTAGAGGTCTTGTGAAAAACATTTTCTTCCTAAACTCCCAGTCAATCCAATCCAGTAATGAGCCATCCAGAAGTCTCAGAACTCCAAAGTCCACTCTCATCTTTTCTGACGTAACAGTCACAAGTTTGACTGTTTGTTTCCCCTTTGGGCAAACAAAAGAAATAAGAAACCCCCTCCTAAGGAACAAGTCTACTGTAACTCAGAACCAAAATTCAGAAATAACCAGACATCCATAACAGGAAGTTGGCAGTGCCAGGGAAATGGATCATGATATAAGGAGATATGTGAGTGTAAGATTAATATGTACAAAAGCAAAACAGAGGCAGATCACCTCAGATTTAAATCCTGGGCCCACCACTTAGTGGATATGTAACTATGGGCCAGTTATATAATCTCTCTAAGTCTCAGTTAATTGTTATAAAATTCATAGGATTGTTATAAAGATTAAATGCCAACACATTTAAGGAACATAGCACAGTGCTTGGAATAGACCTAAGAGCTCAATAAATGTTTTTTGTAATTATTTTTAAGGTTGAAGTGTGAAGTCTGAAAAGACAGGGCAAAACATTTTATCCTTTGATTTCTTTATGGCCATAAAGTCCAACAAATTAAAACAATAATTAAGGATGCTAGGGGTCATAGCTTCAATCCCCATTTGGGGAAACTACATGTTGTCTGCCACTTCACAGCAACCACCTGGCTGTTTCATCTCTGTATCCTATATCAGACCTCCTTTCTAGGGCCATTTCCCAAAACAAAGATGATAAGCATTCTGTGTCTCTATCCACACATTCCCTGCCTACACAATCCTCTCAGATTCAAGTTAACCAATAAATCTCAAAGTCCAGGCTACATCGCTTCCCACTGGGATGTTTCTAATCTAATATCCCAGAATAAAGAGTTTGTGAGCACTCGAAAATGTAAGGTAGTTGATAGAAATGCAAAGGCTACTAGTCCAGGATAGAATCAAATCCCTGTCACTATTTTGGCCATTGGTAAGTACATCTTAAATTTCACTATGTAATCTGACAAACAAGCTTCTCACAATGGGGAACAGGATCTGGGCTACAGGAAATTTCAGCCATTTGAAATAACTATTAACCCAAACATTGATTCAGTCAACCTATACAGAAATGTGTATCACTGCATTATACTTGGTTTCACCTTGGTCCACATTTTTGTAAATACACATGTAACATAAGTTTTATATTTCAAAGTGAAATAAAGCTGATAAAAAAAATAGGAATCACAATTTTAGGACTGAAAAAGACCTTCAAGCAAAAATTTAAAGCATACAAAGCGTGAGTGGAATGTTTCAGCTTTGATATTCTGGTCATAACTCATGTAATGACAGCTAGAAATCCCAGTAACAAAACATCAAGGTATGTGGCTGTACCTTTCACTCATTCATTCAACAAATAAGTACTTAGTGCCTATGCAGCCACGCATTCTTCCAGAATATAAGAATGTAGCAGTCAACAATCTATGTTCCCATCCTTACAGAGTTTATAATCTAGTGGGAAGAAATAGAGAAAAAGCAAACTGTTCAGTGGAAGTAGTAATATGTGCTATAAAGAAAATACAGCTAGGTAGGAGGACAGAGAGTGACAGAAGCCATTTTAGGTGGGTTAGTATATATAATCGGCCTTCCATATTGGTGGGTTCTGCATCCATGGATTCAACCAACCACTGATCAAAGATATTCGGGGAAGAAAACTGCATCTGTACTGAATGTGCAGTCATGTTTCTCTTGTTGTTAATCCCTAAACAATACAGCATAAAAACTATTTACATAACATTTACACAGTATTAAGTATTATAAGTAACCTGGAGATGATTTAAGATACATGAGAGGATGTGCATAGGTTATATGCAAATACTATACCAGTTTATATCAGGGACCTGAGCATCATGGATTTTGGTGTCCATGGGTGGTCCTGGAACCAATCCCCTATGGATACTGGGGACCAACTGTATTCATAATAATGACAGCAGATATTTATTGAAGGAAAATAAGGAAGGATACGGAATTATCTCAGATGGGACAGTGAGGAAGGCCTCTCTGATATGGTAATATTAAACAGACATAAATATTGAGCAGACATCAGGTAAGGAAGTAAGCCACCCAAATTATCCTGTGGAAAGGCATTCTGGGCAGAGGGAATAGCAGTACAAAGCTCTAAGGCAGGAACAAGTTTGGCTTGTTTAGAGAATAGCAAAGACAAGGAGACCGAAGAGCGGTGAGCATTAACATATGGTCAGAGACTAGAAAGGTAGCCAAGGCCCAAGGCCCATAGAATAAAGACTTAAGGTAACCCTCATATTATGTATCACTTGATAATATACCAAACTCAGGTTTTAATCCCAGCTTAACCACTTTAGCTTTGTAACTTTAAAATATTACTTAATCTGGGACTCACTTTCCTCAGCAATAAAATGACACTACCTCAGAATTGTTGTAAGGCTTAAAAGTGACAAAGTTGTAATGCATTTAGCACAGTGCCTAACACACAGTAAGAACTAAAAAAATGGTAGCTAGTTATTCACTACTGCCCACACCTCCCCTCAACCCGCAACACAGAATATAGTTGGAAGGCAACTGAGTTCATTTAAAAGAGAGTTCATAAAAACGAAGCGCTAATAATATCAGGAGCTTAGTTATGAACATGTTACATTTGAGATGTTATCAGCTGTACAAGCAGAGATGGTAATTAGGCAGTTGGATACGAGTCTGGAGTTCAGAGGAAAGGACTGGGCTAGAGAGAAAATATCTGAATTCAGACCATAGTTAGTATTTAAAGCCATAAGACTAGATGAGATCATCAAAGGAATTAGTGTAGATAGAAAAAGAGAAGATGACCCAATGACAGAATCGTTGGGTACTGCAACATTTACTAAGCAGAGAGCAAAATAGAACTGAGAAAGAGCAATCAGTGAGGCAGACAGAAAGCCAAGAGAGTGTGGTACCCTAGAAGCCAAGTGAAAAACGTCAAAGTTGAGAAGTTAGACTGGTAAGGCAAAAACTGAAAAGTCATCACTGGATTTAGTGATGTGGTGAACTGACAGGGGTGAACATCATATCAGAATGTCTTGAAAAGAGAAAAATGTTGAACGGTAAATTTAGACAATTCATTCAAAAAATTATGCTAAAAAGGCCAGGAGAGATATAGGGTAGTAGCTGGAAGGGAAGTGGGATCTAAAAAAGATTCCTTTTTTAGGGCCAGCCCGTGGCTCACTTGGGAGAGTGTAGTGCTAGTAACACCAAGGCCACGGGTTTGGATCCCTATATAGGGATGGCCGGTTACCTTATTTCAGAGAGTATGGTGGCGACAACACCAAGTCAAGGGTTAAGATCCCCTTACCGGTCATCTTTTAAAAAAAAAAAAAATAAAAAAAAAAAAAAAATAACAAGCAAACAGAAAGGACATTATTGGGAGGGAGGGGGGAGAGGGAGGAGGGAGGGAGGTTTCAGTAATGGGCCACAATAATCAACCACATAAAAAAAATAAAAATTAAAATTAAAAAAATAAAGAAAGAAGATTCCTTTTTTAAAGATGGAAGTAAGACCATAAATGCTGGTGGAGTGGTAACAGCAGAGAGGGGGAAACTAATGACATAGTAGAGAAGTGGAAAACTGCTGTAACATTATCCTCATGGGAGGCAAAAACAAATGGAATCTGACACAGAAACGGAGGGGTTTGCATCAGCTATGAGAACAGATATAATCTATCTGTAATAACAGCAGGGAAGGTTTACATGCATGAATGCAGGGGGGTAAGTGGATGTCATGGAGGGAGCCTACGGAAGTTCTCTTCTGGCTGCCTCAATTTCCTCAGAGAAACAGGGAGAAAGTTCATGAACAGAGAGTGACATGGGGCAGAGACTATTCTAGTACAGGTTTCAAGAGAAGGGAAAAAGTATGTAATCTAAGAGACTAGGAGAGTAAATAGACTAAAGAAATATAGTATGATTGATTTAAAGTGAAATTAGTTGGAAGGTTTTCCCTCACATAAGTTTAGCTCCACAAGTGCGGGTAAATATAAAGAGCAAGTGAAGACTTAGGGATAACCAGGATACTGGTAGTCAAACAAGTACAATTAAGAAAAAGACCAGTAGAAGAATTGAGAGTATATGCAAGGGAGTGATGATGACTGACTGTGGAAAAGCAGAGGAGGGAGGAAAGTGATACTTGAGGGCGTTAAGGGAGAATGATAATGTGATAGGAGCAATAGATCCTGGATGGTCCTCGTGGAACCTGTATATGAAAGGGACTGTGGCGAAAAGATAAAAGTGTTGTATCTGGAATGTAGAATATTTAAGGGTAAAATTATCAAAAAAGTTTAAGAATTACCACAGAATCAGATCCTTGACATTCCTACATTTAGTAAGAAACTTCAGTTAGAAGTAAAATGAGAATCCATGTTTCAGATCTGAATGGCAGGTGAGAGAATTAAAGGCAGATGACAAAATAAAGCCTAGGAATTTTTAATCTTTTTCTGATTAACTATTAGAGAAAACTAATTCCAAATTTTCTAAGGAAAATGATGATTCAGGCTTAAAAAAAAAAAAAAGATGCAATCTACTTGATATATATATATATATTTTTTTCCTTTTTGTCTTTTTTCGCGACCGGCAACGGATCGCAACCCTCAGTGTCGCGCCCGGACCGGGACCGGCAACGGGATCGCAATCCTCAGTGCTGCGCCCACACCTCGCTCAGCCAGTGAGCGGCCGGTCTGTACGTGGGATCCGAACCCTCGGCGGGAGTACTTGATAGTTTTTAAAAAAAGACTCAACCACTATTCCATAGTGCTATGGGTTCAATATGTCCCCGAAAAGTTCATGTGTTGGAAACTTGATCCCCGCTGTAACAGTGTTAAGAGAGTGGGAAATCCAATTATGTTATCTGAAGGGTGGGGCCTTTAAGAGGTGACTGGATGGTGATGACTATCTCTTGTGAATGGATTAGTCCATTCATGGAGTAATGAGTTAATGGTTTAATGGGTTATCATGGGTGTAGACTGGTGGCTTTATAAGGAGCACATGAAAGCACTCTTGCCATTCTTGCCATATGGTACCCTATGTTGCCACAGGGCTCTGCAGGGGTACCCACCAAAAAGAAGACCCTCACCAGATGCACCCCCTGGACATCCCAGCCTCCAAAACTGTAAGAAATAAATTTCACGTTCTTACAAATTACTCAGTTTCAGGTATTCTGTTATCAGCAACAGAGAACGGACTAATACAAATGGCATCCTGTTTGGCCAGTTAATTGTTGTTCAAAATGTATTCATGGGGTCTAGAGTCTTATACTTCTCTGCTTAACAAGTTAAATGTATAGTGTAACTTAAGCTAAAATTAAGTGCTATTCATTTAGTTTATCTCTTGACACCACTATTAACAATTTCTGCATTTCCCAAACATAGAGAAATCATTACTTTAGGGAGAAAAACAACTTTCACATTTAAAGATGCCACAGCAAACCATCACCCAAACATGTAAACATTCCTTAATATACTCTTTAACTACCTACTTTTCAAATCCACCTATAAAACAAAACTTTATGTTCAATTTCTTGAAGAGTTAAATATACAATTAAAATGGTACTTTTCAGTAGCCTGAAAAAGAATGTCTTGGTTTTCATTCCGATGGGAAAAAAACATACCATGAAACATCTATCAAAATCTAAGTGTGAATAACAAGTTATTTAATTTACTCACCTCCTTAATAGCATCTTCACTAGGGAGCATGGAACATAAACACGTGATATAAGCTTGCTGAAAAGATGACACATTTGTAATTTCTTTAGATTCTGCACATAGTTTTGATAAAGCAGTAGCCTGAGGAATGCAGTTAGATTTCAACAAATGTTTTATTCGCATCTGCAGAAAGGAAGGTCCTTCTTGTGCAATCAATTTATTGACTAGAAAAAAGGAAAAATAAAAGTTTGACAACATACCACAAAAATGTCAGGCTTGTTAAGCTGAAAGTCTGATATCTTTTTTTACAGTTGTTGATTTGTTTTTAGTTAAAATTCAGTTGATATAAATGAGAAGTTTATTCTGGTCTCAATACTCACAGAGATGAGAAGAAAATTCATTTTGCTACTGATTCCCACATTAGTTAGTAGTTTTATTTTGAACACCAAACCTTTCATTAAACTAACAACATTTTATCAAAATTAATTATTTGAACTTTTCGTCTCACTTTGTGATGAGGATAGTAAGGAATAGTAAAATGAACTTTAGTGCAAGAAAATTAGGTAATCTATGTATTATTAATAATTATCAATTAAAAACTCATGAGGTACCAAGTTTTAAGATAAATGTTTTTATATACCTCTCATTTATTCTTCACACCACCACCAAGGCAAGTATTATTATCCCCAGTTTAAGGTAAGGAAAATTAATATTTAGAGAAGTTAGGTAACTTGCCAAGGATTCCAAAGCCAGTGGTGCTCTTTCCTCTAAACCAGGCATTTCTCAAAGTGTGTTCCACCGACCAAAAGACCTGAGAGATAGTCCTAGAAAAAAAAAGGATTCCTTGGTCAAATCTCTGAACAGTCCTGCAATAAAGAAAACTGTTCACTTTTATTTAACCCAATGTTTCCCAAACTGATTTGACCAGAGAACCCTTTTACATGTATTATTATTACCCTACAAAATAATGTTCCTGGTTCAGTACACACTTTGGAAAATGCTGCTCTGACCAGTACTAACTATTAAGAACCCAAGCACTCCATTGTACAGTGCTCTGGACAAGCCCTCTAGTTTTAAATAGTAGATACTCAGTAAGTGTGTAACATTGTTATGTAGTACTACTTAAATGACAGAGGTGGGAATATTGCATTTCAAGCCTAGTGGTGAGTGAACAAACTGCTTTACGTGGTTAATCTAAAATAGTGTTTCTCAAACTTGAAAGTGCCTTCTGAATCACCTGGGGAGCTTATTAAAATGCAGATTCTGATTCACTAGGTCTGGGATGGTGCCTGAGATTTTGCTTGTCTAACAAGTTCCCAGGTGATAACCATGCTTCTAGGTCTGCAGGCCTACATACAAGGGTACTTCAAAAGGTTCATGGAAAGAGTCCTACTATCTTTTAATTCTATTTTTCTACAAACTTCTTGAAGCACCCTCATATATATATATATATATGGAGTAGCAATGATCCATGCTAAGGATAAAGCCACTAGCCCAATTTTAACTACATATGACAATCAACTGTATAGTTTTTTAAATTACCTTTTTAAAACAGATAAACATATATATCACAAATTTCAAAAGGCACACAAAAAAGCGTACAGTTAAAAGTAGTTTCCCTTCTACTCTGACCCCACTGTCCTAGTTTCCCTCCCTAAGAAACAATTGTTTCCATTTTTTTTATCCTTCCAGAAATATTCTGAGTACAGAAGAAATTTTTCCCTCCCATTCAATGTATCATACAGGTCATTCTATCATCAGCACATTTAAAGACCCCTCATTATTTTTAACAACTGAAGAGTATTCCACTGTATGGATGTACATGTAATTCATTTAACTAATCCCCTATTGATGTATTTGCAAGTTGTTTCCAATCTTTGGCAATCATCAATAATACTGCAATTCACAATCCTACACATAGGTAATTTCACACATGTGATACATCTATAAGACAATTCCTTGAGTAGCATTACTAGATTAAAGATGTTGTTCATTTGTAATACTAATATTACAAAATTACTCTCCAGAAACTGTACCAATTTATACTCCCAGCAGCAACATATAAGTGCCCATTTCCTAAGGCACTGCAAAAAGTTTTGGATTCCAGAGCTCCAACTCCAGAGATTTTGATATTACAGGTGGAGTCTGGAACTTGGTATGTGTGTTTTTCAGTTTTAAATTCCACAGATATTCTAATATGTAGCCAAGGTCAAAAAGCATGGAGGGAAAACAGATAACATTCACTTGGACTTTTCTATTTCAGTCCCACGGTCACTAAACTCCACAAAATGAACTCACAATCATACCTCCCACTCAAATAGCTCTTCATTCCTTACTTCTATTTTTATTAATGGTATTCTCTCAATTATACAAAAATAAAATTTTGGCATTATCCTTCCTTGCTACCTCCTTTCCTTAAGGAAATCAACTTAGTTATTGTGTCCTAGCAATTCTTTTTTTTTTTTTTTTAACTCTCTTCAATCTAATTCCTCCATATTATTTCCTGTCACATCTGTCCCCTGTATATCCTATTCTGCCTAACATCAGATTCTGCTCAATTTATCTGACCTATGAGGTTGTAAGCAATTACAGAAATCCTACAGGAGGCAACACACCTGAAAACAGGCATGCTCCTTCTAAGTTCCTACAGCATTTTACTTCTTTGACCACACCTAGTTTTCTTTTTTCTCTTCGATAACGTTAATAATTATAGTGTACGAAGTTAAGATCTCAGGTTTTAGAATCACTGATCTGAGGTTAAATCCTGATTCTGATACATAGCAGTGAGACCCTTATACAAATTAAACCTCTCAGAGCCTCAAATTTCTTCATCTGTAAAAATGTTAGTAATGTCCACCTCATAGGGAGGAAAGAATCATAAATTAAATACCAGTAATGCAGATAAGACACTTAGCACAAGGCCAGGCACACAGTAAATGTTCAATAATACTTGCTATTATTTGTTTCTGATGTCTCCTTTATTACACTGTCAGCAATTTGTGACCAAATACCATGTTCTGTTAACTTCTGTATTCCCCAAAGCACTAAGCACAATGCCTTGTATATTATATGTTGAATAAAACCATGTACTTAACAACTGATGGGTTATCACTTCCCAATCAAAAACTTTTAACATCTCCTCATCTGGGGCTTAAATTCTGCCTCCACAATTTCAACTGGTCTTGGGCAGGTGTAATCTTTCACCTATTTTATGGATTAAATGAGATATGAAAAAGCACTAATACAGTGCCTGACACATAGCAGACACTAAAAATCATAGCTATTATTTCTATGAGGTAAAACTATTTTACTCAATATATTACAACTACAGTTAAACCGTTGCTATATCAGTTTCTGATACATACCTTAATCTGGAATTTTAAAAATAATTTTAAGATACCAATCTTTACTTAAATTTATCTTTTAAAAGGAAATCCATCTATATGCTTCAATATTTAAAATAATATAATGAAGTACACTGAGAAGTCTCACTCCCAATCGTGATCCTTTCTGTATTTTATTTTCCAAACATTTTAATATAGAAAACTCTATAACCCTCTCCTCCACCCAGATTCAACAACTGAACTGTTTTGCTATATTTCCTTACCTAGCTTTTCCTTTTCTGAACCACTTAAAAATAAGTTGTAGACACTGTGACATTTTATCTTGAATACACTTCATTATGTAAAAACAATAATATTTAAGGTCCAGTTAAAAGAAACAGCTCTTCCATAGTGCCTTTACTGGTCATGCCAGGCAGAAATGCCAACAACTGGCATTTATTACATACTTCAGTTATAAATGGAGGGGAGAGGGGGGCAAAATTCAAGGCAGAAAAATAAAAACATTTGTTTATAGGCCTTTTTTTTAATTCAAAAAGTTAAACTGAAAAACATTTATTGAGTTCTTTGGAGGTCAAAAAAATGTGTACTTTTAAGCATCTGATAACTATTTTATTGAACAAAAGACAATCAAAGAGATGACAATCACTGCTTTTTGGTGTCAAATATGTTAATATTTGGGCTGCAGAGGCAGTAGAGATATAAAGGAAGCTTTCTAATCTTTTGACCTGAAATTAGGTTAAGGGTCAACTGAGGAAGTAGGCAGGCCATAGGTTGCTCACCAGTTATACTACAGTCCTCCATATAATTCCTTAGATGCGTAGTTATCATGCACCCATTTGGAGTCTTACAGATAGAAGGTGCTTAACTCATCTTTACTAAATGCATAGGATACCACACAAGATGCTACGTGAGAAGCAATGCTTTTCCCCATTTCTTGATGTTTTTCTATGTGAAAAAACACAGTTAAGTCTTAAGGTGGGGTGACATATTTGATTAGTACATCAGGGAAAAATATATTGGGAACGTTTAATTCAACTCCACCCTTTTTCCTCTTGGGCTTGGGGCTGCCTGCACAGAGCATTCATTCTTCTCTTCCCCAGTCAGGACTTACCTGGACTGAGATCTGCCTAATTCCGGATGCTTCTGAAACTACTTGGCTCTGTCTTTTAACAGTTTTTATTAATAATAAAAGTGACAATTTAGCTTCCATCTGCCTATATTTACAAAGGGATGCCACTTATTTAGGACCCAGATGGAAAATAATAAACACCAATCTCTTTTCTACTTAAGAGTTTTTTACCTTGGTGCAAGTGATAAGCAGTAGAATTATCAGAAGAAAGGGACCAAGAGAAAATCTAAGTGAGTTTATGCCAAACTTCTCACTATACAGAAAGGCCCTAATGGCATGTATGTGGTAGGCAGTCAAATTTGGTGAATGAAAAAGCTACCTGGGATATTTTAAGGCATCAACATTCAAACTGTTTGTACTAAGTCCTACAGTAAAGATATCTCAAAAAATTTAATAATTGTTCTGAAATCTGTTTTTATTCCAGAAATATATGTAACAGAATATGATCTCTGAACTTCCACTAACTTGGTGCAAATAAAGTTACAGCTGTTGACTTTATCAAATGAGATACTTTTGTGTATCTAAAACTCAAACATCAACTCAAATTCATAATTCTTCTGGTCTTAAACTGACAATTTTGCAAATAAAAAATTTCATTCTTTGCCTTTCTCTATGAAACACTGAATTCCAATTATTTCATGAGTATAAAATAGAAAAGCAATTTTTTTCATGGCCCTTCGCTGTTGCAACCAGTGAACAAAGTATAGCAAAACTCCACCAAATACCAAAGACTAGAAGCAGATTATTCATTTCTATCTCAGGAAATTTGTATGAACATTGTTACTCAATGCAACATTCTAAAATAAGTGCAAAGGGACACTTAGAACACCACTTAAAAATACAAGTATCCTTACTTAAATAAGCAAAATATTAAATGCTAATACTTAATTTTTTCTACTGAAAATAGAACAGAATAATCAGGCTTACATACAGATGTGAAATTCACAAAATTTTAACTCATAATCAATTTCAATTCTCTCAGAATTAAACCATTCTCCTGTATAGTCAAAAACTTTTAAGATTTACCTTCCTCTGTTTCTACTGGCTGTTGAGACAGAATTTTAAGAAGAACTGGGTTCTTCCATACACCTTCCTTGGTAACATGAACCAATATTTGTAGGTTATTATTTCCAAATTCCAATAATGCATCATGTGACTCCTAAAACAAAAAAAGTATATTTAGAAAACAAGCTAATGATTTATATAAAAAGTAATGTTGCCTGTTCAATATATCTGAACATCTATAAATTGGAAGAATCTATAACTGAATTTCCTAAAAATAAGCAAAAAAACACTATCCACTTTGTGAAATTCTGTTGTCACTTTTTACAAAACTTGGATGCTTTAACAAAGTTAAAGAATACATTTAAAATACTTTCCTGAATTCTTCTCAGGTAAAATTATTACTGCAATTCAATTTAGGTCCCTGCATTCCTACTGGATAGTTGGAGTGCCCTATTATTAAGATGGCTTACATTACTAGAAGACTCTTTGAAGGCCAGACCAACAGCCCTAGTAGTAATTGATTTTATTATTTTCATTTGTTTGTTTTGGCAGCTGGCCAGTATTGGGATTCGAACCCTTGACCTTGGTGTTATAACACTGCACTCCAACCAACTGAGCTAACCAGCCAGCCTTTGACTATACTATTTTAAGCCCACTGGTATGGCTTTCTTTTAAAGGATTCTGCAGTATTCATACATGCAGTCTATTCCTTTTAAAAGAAATATTATTTAATGAGACCAACTGTTACATAATTGTTTACATTCTTCTATTAAATTACTATTTAAATGAGAGGTGATTCTATATAAAATGTCATGAAATGTGTAGGGTTTTAGCTGTCATTCTATCTTCTTAGCAAACAAACAAAATGTAATTGCCAATAGTTTGTTCCTTAAAGTACCTATCCACAAAGGATAAGGGGAAAAAAAGGTCAAGAATTTAACTCAATATAAACGATTCTGTACATATCTCACTGTCCTCTATATTAGTGAGGATTATTGATTACACTGAGGTTTTAACTTGTTTCCCTTATTTTCAACTGCTGAAATTCTCTAGGAACATAAGCTTCCATTTACAGCAATATTCCTTTGGAAAACATAAGCCAAAAATGTTCACAGACCTAAGGATATAGTTTTATATCCACTCAAATGAAATATAAGATATAAAGTTTTTCCCCTCGTTAACTTTCATGTTAAAATAAGACAGGCTTTTACTACACACACACACACACACACACACACACACACACACACACACACACACAATTTGTTGAGTTATCTTCTGCTGAGAAAAGGTTTAAGATAGGAACCTAATACAGTAAGCCATATTTCCAATTAATAGTTTACTAATAGAAATATTTAACTAATGCACCTAATGCTGCAATTTTCCTTTAACAGCTTGACCTGTCCTCAGGCTTCTTTGTCCTTAAGATTACAGGCATTTTCTTTGCAGTGGAGAAAAAGATTCTATGTGAAAATTTCAGAATTTGCTGTGCCAGGTTACCATATTTATAATACCTAACAGACCTCTACATTACATTTTAGCAGAAAATACTATCACCCACCACCACACACAGCAACTGAAATAAAAAGCCACAGCATGGCTTTAAAAAAAAAAGTTTTCAACTTTTTCATTTGTTAAAGTTCAAAATACAGTTTACTCAGGAAAATGATGTGTAATATTTTGTTACCAATAGATATATATTTATTATAGCAAACTGACTAAAAAAGTAACATTACATAGAGTCTTTAAAACTATTGTGGCATTTAAAAAATAATTTTAAAAACTAAGATTTGTTTCTTTTTAAGGTGAAAATATCCTAGCCCATATCTTGAAATCTACAATACAGAAATACTAGCAGAAGATGTTGACTCTTGCACCATTTACAACAAATAGCAAAGAAATTTAGTCAAATAATTTATGGTACAGCCACAAAACAGGATTCTAGGCAATCATCAAAAAGAGAGATCTACATATGCAATCCTAGACATGTATCCATGATAATTATTAAGTAAAAAAACAAGCTGCAGAAAATAGGCTCTCATCTTTCTTTATTAAAAAACCCATTTCAGATTATTTTTTTTATCCATAGCAAAAAAGTCTGGAAGGGTTATACAGCTGTAAATAGCAACTGAGAAAAGTTCTATTTGTGGCCTGCTCTGATAAAAACTATTCTCTTACCACAAGTATCCTCAATACCATCTGCTGCCTTGTCCACATATCACATAATATAAGAAAAATTCAGGGTTTTATCTTTCAAATTTCAACAGGAACCACATCTTAAATTTACCTGTACTCCTACTGCATTTATTTTACTGAACACATATTCAAGATATATCCTACATGTCTAATAAATGCTGAAAAGACACAGATGGGAAAAAAGGCAATTATCTCATTCAGGTGAACAATCTAAGAAAAGAATGAAGAAATATGAGAGCATTCTCTCTAAAAAGGATATTTTAAAAAGTAATAGTAACAGTCCTAATAAGAATAAGTAGATTTACCCTTCTAGAATGCCATATGCCAGGACAAAATCACTAGCAGGCCTTAAAACACAGTGATAAAAATCAATATACTATGCATGAAAGATAATTTTAGCAGCTTTTTAAGGATATGTGAGAAATCAGGACTAGCATTACAGGGATTAAAATAGGTCAAGAACATGACAAAGAACCCTCTTCTCGACAAAGAACCCTCTTCTCGACAAAGAGAAAAACATTAACATTGTATCATTTCATTTTCCGTTATGTACCCCAAAGGAAAGAAATTCCCAAATAATGAGGTGTGTCTGTTATTATGCAAATCTTTATCTGTACATACATGAAACAGTCGAAGCTACTATGGAGATTGTGTCCTCAAGGAAGCAGTTAACAGAGCAGGCTTTGTGTTTAAATCTGGATGTAACTTTGGGCAAGCTAATTAACCTCTCTCTGCACCTGTCTCCCCATTTGTAAATGGAAGATTCAAATAATGCCCCACATTATAAAGTTTGTGATTTAATTAAAACATATAAAATATGTAAAACAAAGTGTAGGGCAGTGTTTGGCACATAATTAGTAATTGATAAAAGAATGATTGCTATTTTTAAAAATAGGTTTTCTGTTCCCATTAACAGGCAAATTTGCCTCCTGTTGCTGGCACTACAGTACTTGCTTTTTCTCCAATCCTTACTCTCCCTCCCTAACTTGCCACTTTCTGATGTGCTCACCTAGAGAGGTGGTAATCAAGCCAATGTGAGAGCCCCAGTAGTTTGCCTGTAAGTAAAATGCATCAACAGAATCTATGATGACTTAGTTTGGCTGTTTCAGAGATTTATAATGCTTGGCACAATCCCTGAAGTGTTAAGGGGAAAAAGTGAATCTTGGATGTGATGAAATATGTTAACACATCCCCTTCATGTGGAGGGCCTTTTTCTCATTTCATGAACTTAAAATCAACATATAATGAACTTGTTTTTGTTCTAAGTTTCCAATTTTAGTTTGCTGGGAGTAATTAGTCAGTTGTCTTAGATACCTATACAGAGAATGTTTCAAAGTTAAAATCAACTCACCTGTAGAGACTGAAGGAACGGTACCCAGACTTCAGATGGCAGTTCACTTTCAGACACTGAAAGCAGTAATTCAAAACAACTCCTACAATATAAATAAGTATATAAAGGTGGGTACAGTAATAATTAAGTACAATATGACCACAATACTGAAAGTATATTTTACATTTGTTTAGACTACTTAAAATTTTTTTTACTCTTCAAAGTTATTATATTGGCTTTCTGACTTTAAAAAAGAGAAAAAAAGAAAACCCACAAAACATTTGCTAATAATATAAGCCTTTTAGAAATCATATTCCGAGTGGTTCTATTTAGTTTATTTGGGGGGGGGGGGGGGGGGGGGGGGGGGGGGGGG